CCATTTAACTTCCAAATTTATTTAAAGGACGATATGGTGGCTAAGAAAAGTGTGATGGATGTCTTCTATACAATACCAATACTACCAAATTGGTAGAATAAAGTCCCGCAATAGGCCAAATGTCGCACTGTTCTGCTAGACTATTGGGGTTCAGTTAATGTTAAATTGCTGGTATTTCACCACCAAACAACAGTTAATAGCTGACCCAGCTGTTTGGCACAGGAAGGGGGGATTTAAATAAACTTCTCTGTAAACAAATGTATTTTCCTTACAGGCACACTTTAAAAGATGGGTATAAGGTGTGATCCAATTAGCCCCCGGTAGCAAACATACAGCTGATGCTGATGGATTCTTTTTTTCTGGATGAACAACCTCTTTTATGGGGAAGGTTAAGAACAATACAAAAACATGTTTATTAGCCATAATGTTTTGCTTTTGTTTCATTTTAATAGCTTGGAAAGTTTGGAAACAAACGTCTAGGAACTTTCTGCTCGAAATTGAGTGGTACATTTGGCCAAATACTGAACAGTTCTCGTAGCCGTGTCACATCTTGCTGGCCAATTCCTTCTAGAAGGATTCCAAAAAAAAAAAATCCTTCTTCTATTCAGACAGTCAAACAAACCCCTTTAACGACCGACCTTTCAGACACTTATATGAATATGGGGTAATGCAGTCTAACAAAAGAAGCCAAACGACCCCCATGTCAAAGGGGTGGACCCCTTCGTCTGTTCCAACTTGCATGTTTTCGAAACAAAAACAAGGCTTTGTTGGGCTACTGTATAAAACCTTGAACTCAACACTATTCCTGATATTTTAAATTGAAAAAGCTTCCTGGATGGGAAGGGAAACGTCTTCAAATTTCGAAACCAAGTCCAGTGGATTGTTTTTTATCTTTTTGGGAATGACTATGACCGGGCCGCTCAGTGGGGCAGTGGGTAGCACTGCTGCTTTGTAGCAAGAAGGTTCTGGGTTCAATTCCTGGTCCAGGGTCAATTCTGCTTAGGTGTGAGTGTGTGTGCGAACGGTTGTTTGTCCTGTTGGTCTCTGTGTTGCCCTCGATGGACTGGTGACCTGTCCAGGGTGTACCCTGCCTCTTGCCCGTAGACAGCTGGAGATAGGCACCAGCACCCCTCGCGACCCCAATTGGGATAAGAGTGATGGAAAATGGATGGATGACTGACAACCTTCACCAGCATATTCTAGAAGGATTAGCCATTAGCTGGGTCATATGGCCAGATAGAAGATGTGGTAACCCGTTAATGAGATAATTTTCAGTCAGTTTACTTCTTAAAGTGAATCAAAGTGATTTGAATGATGCCAAATTTGCTGCAAAAGCCACGGGGTAGCGTCAACCCCTTTTCTACCTTTTCTCAGAACTAAATTCAATAGTAAATAAAAACAAAATATTGCTTAAACAAAGTATAAGGTTCATGGCTGTGTTCCTTAAAGACAATTCTAAAGACGGAAATTACATCAGTCTTAGTGTGCCCCCCTTTTACACTCTGTTAACAAGTTTCTGAAGACATATCATGGATTTTCTGGTCTAAGAAAAGGCAGAGTCACAATCCAGGTGAAGTAGCCATCCAATGATCAATACCTACCATCAACCTTAGTGACCCAAGCTAAATTCACCAGTCTGCTTGAGCAGGATCCAATCAGAAAGAGGCTTCATCCTAGCAGAACCACAGCATTTTCTCTTATCTTCTAAATCCACTCTGCACCAATCCCTCATTTCATGAGTTGGGGTAGTCTGTACGTGTAGAAATATCACTGTATTTTCTTAGCAATAAACCACAGCAAGTCCACAGGAAAGGAGTGGGGAGTTTCCTCTGATATAAAATGATCTAAACCAAGCTGGAGGTTACAGACAGTGGCAGCAAATACGAAAACAAGCTCAGACAGCAGCTCTGTGATGATTTATACACCTGAGAATGAATTGCTTCAACAGCTGGGAACGCCTCATAAAGGAATAAGGTTCTGTTCAGCGTACTCCCCAGAGAACTAACTGAAAATATGATCACTCCCGCCAAAAAACTTCTGCAACAAGACCCTAGAGGATGGCCTCAAAAGCTTATCAGAATTCATCACAAACTGGTGGGGAATGCCATTCAAATATGTTATACATCTTTGTAATGGCTCCTAAATATTTCATCCCTCTCCCAGGCAGAGGCTCAGCACTCATCAGGGCCATAACTTTGGGACCATTAACATTTACAGGATTTTCCGACCAGCTTAATGAGAAGATAAGCAGTCGATGTGAACCCTTGCATAAGTGGAGTGCTGCATGCCTATCACCTAATTATGGCAACAGGCTCTTGACTGGCCGTCATATTTAAGCGGCGTTGCAGCAGAGAACGGTCCCTTTGAGGGTGGAGGTCAGGAAAGTTTGCAATGAGAGAATTTTTCTGTGCAAACTTCCAGGCTTATAAGGTCAACTTGGTGAAGCGAAACCGGTGAGACGGAGAGCCTCTTCAAGTCCTAAAACGAACATTTAGGGAATCCGCTCAGGTTAGTATTAAAAGAAGAAAAAGGGGAACTAATGAAGCATTCAGATGTATGATTTAACATCAAACACGGCAAAAACATGAAAAAATCAGCATATGTATAATATAGTTTAGTATTATAACATTCCTCAAACCATAGTTCATCTAATTCCAGAACAATCTATGCGTCAGATTCTGATGGAGTTAAATGATGTCTCAATGAGTTTCCCTAAAATAAAAATCTAGAATTCATTAGGACCCCTCAGCGAATCACGTTAAAGTGCTAACACGCCAACATCATAACACTGCCATCTCTGTGCGAAAGTGGGCTGTGCTGTTCTTAGAAGTGAAAGAAAACTGGAGATGACAGTTCACTGTTGCCAATTTAACTTTATATTAACTTTATAAAATCTTTTAGTCAGTTCTAGTTATTAAAGGCAAATCTAATTATTTTTCTTTGTGTTTTTGGCCAAAATTAGCGACTTCATTTGATAAGCGCTGTCTCACATGCACTTGGAGCAGCCTCGTCCGAAAACCTCCACATGCAGTCAGAGCAAATAGAGCAAAGAGGAGACCTACGTAGCGAACGGATAACGCATCCACAAAGCTGCCGATAATTTCACCCTGCACTGGAAAAAATCGAAATCTAGATTAGTCCTTTTTATTAAGATAAGTGTATTTGTTTTTGGATTGGGTAGGGAAAAGAGACATTATGCCAACAGAACAAGATAATTTACACTTAAAATAAGAAAACACAATTGTATTGTCTTATTTTAAGTGCATTTTATCTAATTATCTTATTTTTATCTTATTTTAAGAGCATTCCATTTGCAAACTAGCTCATTTACCTACTCAAATGAAGGATAAATACACTTAATTCAAGAAATGGTTACTTATTTCTAGATAGTTTTCCAGTGTGGATTACAAAGCAGGGTAAGTATATAATGCAGATTTTATTCTTTCTCTGAAAATTTTGGAAAATAATGACCTGATCACCAAACAGCTTGAGTCACTTATTAACCTCATAATGATTGTTCCTCTGCTCACTGTCGTCTTGGTAAAATTTGATTTATAACGTGTACGATCGGGAGATGTATAAGAAATTAGACATTTTTTCATAAAGGGAGGTTAATGTTTGTTAACCTGACTCCGCCAGATGAATTTGCTCCGCATATCCATCTGGAAACCTTCCGTTGAAGTAATTTTGGGACGGGGCGAAAATACTGGTTAGCCGATTGGCCTATGTTGGTGATAGATGGGCCAAATATACCAATCAGATCAATGAAGCATATGGCGTACTAACAGAGCGACGACGAATAGGAGCCAATTGATAGATCAAACTCTTGCGGAAACCAGTCGGGAGAAGAGCAAAAACATCTTTTCCTCTGAGAAAAGCCTCCAGAGCAGTGTTTTGCTCTTCTTTCAGTGAAGAAATACTCTGTAATTCCGATAAAACTTGCTCGATAGCCACGCTAACGCTAGTTTCATCGGCTGAAGCCGCCCATGTTCTTTAGACTGAACTGTCGCGCTTCTCGTTGCGTCACACCTCAACCCGCCTCAAAGCCAACGCTGATTGGACGTTCGTTTGGTGAACGGTTCTACATTTTCTTTTGGAGAACGGAGACGGAGAGTCTCCAGACTGATTAGTGAGTGAAAGCTTGAAAGCTCGTGAGATCAGGATGGTCTCACGAGGCTAAACGTATGTTGCATCTCAACGACATTTATTGTAGTGTTGTGTCATACAGAGGAAACCGTATCTATATGTTATATTTATGTAGAAACAAAGAAAAAAATGTGACTCTGAGAGAAAAAATATGAACTAAATAAGACCAGAAGTGAAATATTTTGAGCACGCTGGAAAAACGACCTGGAAATAAGTAAAAATTTCTTAAAATAAGTGTATTTACCCTTAATTTGAGTAGATAAATGAGATAGTTTGCCAATGGAAGGAGTATTTTTACTCTTGAAAGATGATAATTAGATAATATGCACTTGAAATAAGACAATGCAACTGTGTTTTATTATTTTAAGTGTAAATTGTCTTTTTTATCCCCTTAATTCTAGAACAAATGCACTTATTTTAAGGAAAAAAATGGCTTTAGATTTAGATTTTTTTCCAGTGTAGTTTTGTTTCAAAGATACAGATTTGTTTTTTTATTAATTGGAGCTTTTAGACACACATGAGGAGAAACCACTTCTCTTTGATGATCCACATCTTTGTCCTTGAATATGCTACCATCACAGTTTGGCCTTTTATAAGCAAGGAAGAGTCTAAGTCTACAGAGCATTTCTTAATTGATTAAAAGTTGTGGAGAACGACGACAGCTTCCAGTTTACAGTAAAAAAACAAAAAACAAAATACTAATAAGTGAAGGAGGCAACTGAGGTCACCGTTTAAAAGCTTTATTCTGCTTTCCAAACTGCCTAATAACGGGCCCCTTTTTACCTTTCCTGTGTCTGTTATTTCAGGGATGACGTCAGACGGACCCTGGAAGGTCAGGCTGTTTTGCTTTTTACCTGGAGAACTGCTGCTGCAGTGAAACCATCTGCGCCCGTCCCTGCTCAGACTCCTCCGTCACTTCCCGGAGACGCTTCTCGCTCTCCAGTCGCAGGCGTCGCTCTTCCTCTAGCTCGTGGATCAGTTTTTCTCGCTGCGGAAGAAGCCGAGAAGCATGAGAGGAGAGAGTTAATACCCATCAGGAGTGTTTAACGGTCCTGAAAAGGGGAATTTTCCCCAACTTTGTTTTCAGGGGGAGAGGAGGTAACTTCTAATGTCTGTGACCAAAAGCTACGCTAAGGGTCTGTTATTGAAGCGGCCTTTCACGCTTCTTTCAGGTGTGGAAGATAATGAGAGCGGTGACATTTAAGCTGCAGGATTGGCTTTGCCTATGACAGTTTGTTGTTACCCCCAGAATGCCTAGAATGAAGCTTCCCTTTTTTCATTTGCCTCCATGATGGAAAGGTTCACAGAAAATGCCAAATAAAATCACTCCAGGGCCTTGCCATTTCTCCTGCCTTTCAATAACCCCCCCCACCGCCTCCAAGGACGTTTCATTTACTTTCAGAGATGTTGTTGGGAAACTTTGAAAAGAAGAAATCCTGTTTATGAAGAACTGTGAGCTCAGAGACCAAAGGTCGATGTTTTGGGAATGAAGGGATCAGGATGGAAAGGTTCCTTTGGATTTAAACAAAAAGTCTTTCAATGGCAGGTTTGGTCTTTTTATTTCCCTCTTGATCAGTCATCTGTAGGTAGCTGGAAGAGAAAACCCTCTGGGTGAAACAATCTTTGACATTTTTTGGGGGTTTAGAATCTAACAAGGTTAGTGCAGGGCATATACTTTTATAGCGCTAATTAAATCAGATTTTGGAAAAAAATCCTATCCATAAATGAGATATTGACAAACCTTTTAATCAGAACAAGGTAGCAATTACTAACTTTGCAGACGCTTTTAATTTTATTTAACTTTATTTTCATATTTAACTTTTTATTCCATTTTCTAAAAGAAAAAAAAACATTTTTTTTATGTAATATAATATAAAATTGGTTTCATCATCTAGTTTTGTTATTTTCATTAGTTATTTTTCCGAAATTATCTTTTGAAATGTTTTTTTTTTCTTTTTAATAATGTAATTTTATTTGTAAAATTTTATTTTTTCCAGATTTCACTTTTTATTCCATCTTCTTCTTCAAAAAAAGTTCTTTATATTTAAAGCTTAATCTTTTATTATAGTTTAAAAATTGGTTTCTTTAAAAAAATATTACATTTTTTCATATCATTTTGAAAGTTTTTTCACATTTTTTTTTTCAAGTTTTATTTTCAGTTTGGGTTTTATGAATTTAATTCTTTTCAAACTGAATTTTAGTCTTCCTTCTCCTCTGGATTGCAATCTTTTTTTAATTCACTCCATCCGAGAGTGAATGACTTTGAACTGTTCTGTAGTCCTGCTGTTTTTCTGGCCTGCGCCGCTGCACTTGGCTGTTTCTTTTACAGCTGAAAGTTTATTGACTATCTGTCAAAATCCTGCCAGAATATCACGTTGAATAAAACCATATAAAATCCCAGTAAAAACAACAAATACATTTAATAATAAATAAATAAAGGTGGATTTGTGCCAGATGTGCCACGCTAAAAGACAGCAGCAATTTGTTGCTAATCAAAGCCAAATGATAAGGGATCCTCAGCGTAGTCTAAAAGCCAGAAGTGTCAGTTTCCTAGTCTTGAATACATGCGTGTTTGTTACCACAAAGCCAAAATGGAAAGAGAACAGGTGCTGCTGATCAAATACAGGAAAACTAAAGTATCTTTTAATGCAATGCCAAAGTGGAAACCCTACAGCCAGCCAACAGATGTTAGGTTAAAAAAAGATCCAGCAAGGTGTGGTAATTAAATGAATTTGTTTAATGGTCAACTATGACCAAATATAAGCAGCTAATTTAACGTACCTGTGTCCCTTTCCTGTTTTTTAGGCATAAAGAGGTGTGTTCACACAAAAGACAGACAATAGCCCTAATCAACCATTTGTTGCTGCCTGTTAATCCGAAAGTCCGACATTCTATTGTTAAAAGAAAAAGATGATTCATTAAAAAGGGTTTTGTTGTACCTATGAGCCTCTACAGCCCAAAATAGTAACAAGTTCACCACCAAAGTGGAGATTTTAGGCGTGTTTTGGTTATTGTCCAGCACGGTGAAGGGGGAGTGATCATATGGGCTTATTTTTGCAACCAAAAGACAGTGGTACCTTGAAGTTATTCAGTAAAAGATCACTTTTACTGAACAAAAGCTGGAGCTTGGTGAAGAATAGGTCATGTAATCAGTAGATACATTTTTCCTTGAGAACTGAAGTTCTTCTGTAAATGTTTCTAATAGCTACTAATGTACAGTAAGGTGTTTTGCTGTATTTAGAGACAGACCCCACAAGTCTTTAGTGTTTGAGCAGAGAAATGCTTTCAAAACAAAAGCATTATGAGGACACCTAGTGTCCGAAAAGACTATAACAGCATTGGCTGTACAAGGAGAATAGATTTAAGATTGTCCATTCAGCTATATTGAAACAAATATCAAATAGCATAATGCCCAGCAGAGGTATGTGTGTTACTAAACTCACCAATAAGAAGCTGCGTTTCATTATATGTCTACTTGTGTCAAAAAGAGCAGCTCTAACCAGTTAGAGAAAGGGGATATTAAACCCATATCACCTATAAAATCAGCTCTGGTTATAAATCCATGGCTCCAACGAGAGATGGATTATTTTTTTTACACAACAGTGAGTTTCGTCTTGTCAGATTTTGGAACTGGGGGGGGGGGGGTTAATGTGCGCCATAAATCAGGACAAACTGAAGCATAAAGTAGGCCTTCCCCCAGCCAAGAACCAAAGCAATAACTCTCTGGCTCCTTTTGTTAAAAACCCAAGAAATAGGCTTTATTTGTAATAGTAATAAAGTGAAAACATGTTCTTGGTTCAAAATGGGTTTAACAGGAGGTAAAGAAATGTTAAACATGCTTATATTAGACGAGGTATTGTTTGCACAGGAGCTTCACCCACATGAACGCCCCAGGCAGAAACGTTACCAACAACTTCAATTTCAAGTGATTAACCATCAACATCTGCAGTAAAACCCTTCTGCTGCCTTTTTGTTGTAAATATCTATTTCATTTCAACAATTTTACAAGCCCTCAGCTCATTAAATCAAAGATTACTATGTCTTTACATTGCCAGTTTTTTTGGGGGGGTTCCTGGAGAAATTGTTTGCTGTTGCCTAATTGGAAGCACATTCTGCAAAAGCAGTGGAGAGAAAAAAAAAAAGCCTGTAAGTGAGGCCTCAGATTCTACACTATGAGGGGATCAGTTTAAAACATGCCTGGCAACTCCCTGTGGGAACATTTATTTTAGTTAATCCAACCACTGAGGAAGATAATCTCTTTCCAACCGGCTGAATAAGGGACGGTGCGGTGCAATTCCCAAGTTTGCCCTCCAGAGGGCAATACTATCCCGTAATAGAATCTCCCTTTGCTCCAACAATACTGTACACCAGGTAGGAAAAGCAGTAGTAGAGCAGAAATGCCTTTAAAATGGACTAGTAGGGCTACATTTGGTATTTTCTAAGTTGGAGTTATCTGGCCAAAGTGACAAGAGGGACAATGATAGAAGTAAAGACTGTGCTAATAATCAAGTGCGGCAGTATCAACACCATGGTGTGGGCCTGTTTTACTATCCGTGGTACAGCTGCCTTGCAAAAAGAGGTTAAGATACTAAAGATTGAGGACTTCTGGAAAATCCTAGCTACCTGAACACATTTGCGGTGCTCTAGCCAAGCAATGATCCCTAACACACATCAAGAAAACAGTTTAATCTAAATGCATCCATACAAGCATCTTCCACCAATTGTCTGTCAGGGTCACGGAGGGCTGGCGCCTATCTCCAGCAGTTTAAAGGCAAAAGGCAGGGTACACCCTGGACAGGTCGCAAGTCCATCACAGGGTAACGAAGATACAAACTCACCCTTAAGGACAAATTGAAACCACCAATCAACCTCAGCAGCATCAGTTGTCATGTTTAGAAGCGTTCGAGAGCATCCACCATGGGAGAAGGCAGAAGTACCTGGAGAAAACCCCAGAAGGACTCGGGAGACCATGCAAACTCTTAGCAGAGATACCCTAGGCCGGGAACCAAACCCAGGACTTTCCTTCTGTGAGGCAACAGTGCTACAAATTATACCATCAGGAAAATGATTAAAACTCTAAGAGTTTTGTCCAAAAATACATTGCCACCAATGTGTGAGCCCAATGTAAAGTCAGACATGTAAAAAGGCGTCTTGCCTAAAAACCTCATAGAGTGCAGCCTCTCTGTAGCATAATTGGTCAACATTAGATGGTAATGGCCTTCATTCCAGCTGAATCACTAAAAGACATGAATCCCCATGATACCCCATACATTCCACCAAGGACTTTAAATTAATTAGAGTCCTCTGCCTCGTCTGCTTGTCCCTGCAATGCCGTCTCCTGTAAAAGGCCGGCTTTATCAAGTTAAGTGCCTGTATGTGCGCTGTGCCGTGCAGTGTGTACAACCTCGACTCGGTCACCGCTCGCAGAGGACGTTCATCTGTAACTGTACATGGTTTGGGGATGCAGTTTGTGGGGAGGCTCAATAATCTCTTCATTACACTGAAACCTCCGCCCTTCCCCTTCTGTCGGAGCTCTTTGCCTAATCAAAGGGCCCGAGAGCAGATCAGGGGCTCGCTGCAAACCAAACATCAGGGACACAACCCAGCGTGCACGTCCCTTGCTCATAAATAAAACATAAACACAAGCTCTGTGTGTAGATGTAAGGAGTGAATTCAGAAGAAGCTGTAATATAAGCAGAATTTGTCCTCCTAAAGGTTGACTATGAATTTAAGATTTTTGTATATGGAATTTGCAAAAACAGCAGAATGGAAGGGTTGGTCCATTTTCTTATTGTTCCTACAGCTAACCCTACAATTCTTCCCCTTTAAACAGATTTTCTAGACATTTTCAGATCAATCAAGAACACGTAATTTCTGTCTGTAGCAATTTCTATTAAAAACAGCACACTGTTTATTCAGAGTTAGCTGCAACATGTAATTTAGAAAGACAAACAGTGAATTTAGAGCAGAACAGGCCCATAGAATCAC